ACCGATTGAGGTAGTAGACAAATTTGTTTACCTGGGCAGCTGTATCAGTCCCGGTGGTCTCGCGAAAGAGGAAATTTCCATCCGGAGTGGGAAGGCCAGAGCAGCTTTCGCGAACCTACGTCACCTGTGGCGTAGGCGTGACATCAGCTTCTCTGTCAGGGGTCGAGTTTACAATGCTGTGGTGCGTTCCATATTACTATATGGATCAGAAACCTGGCCGTTGCGAGCCGAGGACGTCAGTGTTTGATCATCGATGTCTACAGAGCATTGCCCGAATCTGGTGGGAACACCGGATCAGCAATTCTGAAGTTTATCGAATGGTATTCGGGAGAAATAACTCACCCTCGATAGATGAACAGATCACACTGCACAGGTTGCGCTTGCTTGGCCACGTGTTGCGCATGCCAGTCGACCGACTTCCTCGAAGGGCTCTTTTTGCACAACCACGTGCAGGGTGAAGGAGAGCCAGAGGCGGTCAAACAATGACTTGGCAGCGAAGTATGAAAGCCATTACCAGCAAACTCAGCTTCGCTGGTCACTGCCTTCTTCCTAGATGGGGACCCCGAGACTGGCCACATCAATGGCTAGAGACATTGTCAGATATGGCCCAGTCGCGCCCCCAATGGCGCTCGTGCATCCAAGCTATTGCCTCCAATGCATAGCTTCTTTTCCACCCCCCTCCACTTGACAGCCCACTGACAGTGCTGGATTTATGCACCAATTTATCAGCTCCCGCCTGCAATGCACAGTTACCTACCCCTCCCCCCAAACCACCGGCGAACGAAACTACGGCAGCTACAATCACTGTACGACGAGTACGCCGTTATTACAGCTGACAATGATGGTGATGATTGTCTGATATTTTACCCCTCAAAACCCCGGTCTCATATTCCACATGCACAACCGGTTTTATCGTTTGCGCATGCAGGGTCTGTTGAATACACACGGTGGTGTTCTGTTGTGTTATACAGTCGAAACGCCGTGATTATATCAAATTATTGTAGGGCCGTGTTCTTGTTTCAGATTCGCCTTCTCAATCTGGTATCTGACAGTCGTTTGAATCATTTGTATGTTCGCACTTGGTCGTGTTGGTTCGCCCCGTATTTTTAATGAATGAAGCAGGTCAACTGTCCGAACGCGCACACCATCGCTTTTTGAGACCTCATCCCAGCAATACTTGTTTCCTCTGTCTAAGCTCGAGGTAGCTCAGATGTTAGGGCGTTTGTTCGAAACCAAACTCGGTATCCCAATTGTCTTTGTCTAGGCTTGGGCAACCTCTAAGTTTTCAACCCTCGTACTTCATTTTTTTAAATTGTTTCTTACACCCAATTCGTCTGTGTCCACCGACTTGCTGATGGTGAACTAGCCAAGGTCACCTCTCTCTTCAGAGCTCGAGTTCGAGATTACAGTGAATGGACCTCCGAGTTTGACCTCGCGATGCACCAGGCACGGGACGGATGATCTGAATGTGTCTACTTACTCAAGCGTCACCGTGCTATTAATCCCATCAACCATCCACTGCTCAAGGTTGGTGATAAATTTTACATCCAGGGCCTCTAGCCTGTTTACGTTTTGTTTGGAGAGAGGCCGTCCCGTTCAACTGGAGTGATTCGACAATACTTCCCATCCTCAAAAGGAGCATCGAGCGAGATTTCAGTCGAGTAGAGTTTGCGTCAATCACAACTTCGCATTCCTTGGCGTTTTAGTGTGATCCTACGCCTACAAGTGACCTACAATTCTAGTGTTTCTTGACTTCAGGCGTGCTTTTAATTGTTAGTCAGTCAATGTATTAACTACACTGTCCCTAACTTCGGTCGTAAAACTACCAGACATCTACACACTAATCTTTCATGTTTAAAATTCATCCTGGACATTCGGTGGCTCGACAAAGTATGTAACTCGATGGTTACAGAACTCCGATTCGGTGTCCCCTACTTCAAGCATATACTACATCGGTGATGGCTTTCGCATTATCATCATTGCCGTCACGAAGAGACTGGACCTCATCGTAGTGTGATGGTTTGTGCACCCCAGTGACCCATTGAGCTATACTGGCGGCTATCCCCGCGACACTCACAGAGTCTCTCATACCAGGTTAGTCAGTGGTAAGAGGTCCGATAAACGCAGTCTCCTGGTCCTCCAGGTTGGGGGTGGAACATGTGGCAACTTGTTCCGTAGAAATGTCATTGCAGTTACATTTCCTGCCGAATACCGAGCGTTCTAGCCGCCTGTGAATTGTGGTGGACACAGAAGGCCAAAGAAATGTAAGACGCCCAGAAAGCCAGTAATGTCTGAAGATTGTTTGAGCTGATCCGTGCGACCGGTCCCCAGAAACCACCTGTGAGCAAAACCGTCAAGGAGCGGAAAGGAGTGACCACCTTCAACAAAGGAGAACGCCTAGACCGTTGGGCCGAATACTTCGAAGAACAATTGTCGTGGCCGTCAGCTGCCACTCATCTGGAGCCCGCAATTGATGCAGAGCTCTGGACGGTAAACGTGGAACCACCTACGGCCTCAGAGGTCTACGACTGCATATATTCTCTCACCGAGCTTCTGGTCTGGATGACCTCCCACTCGCGTTCTTTAAAGATGGGGGTGAAGTCTTCAGTCAGCTCTTGTATGATCGGTTCGCTTGCACTTGGGGAAAGGGATCTGTCCCAGACAACTGGGAAGTCGGCGATAGTTTCCATCTTCAAAGAAGGGGCTCGTAGTGAGTAGTAACCACAGGGGGATCAGCTTGACCCCGGTCTTAACGAGACTGTTGGCGCCTCTGGTGCTTCGTCGCCTTACGGTGGCTCGTGAGACCATGACTTGAGGGCGGTAAGCGGGATTCCGGCCTGGTAGGGTTTGAGTTGACCAAATCTTCACACTGCGTCAGGTGCTATGGAGTTCCGGACGTGTCAGAGCATACGGTGAGCTCTCCAGAAGCTTCCATACAAAGAGGTGTCCGTCAGGGATGCCCACCATCTCCATTCTCATTCAACTTCGTGATCGATGAAATCATGAGACGGGCGCTGTAAGGTCTTCACAACCCTGTTTTCAAATAGCCTGTGACGAAAACCTTGTCGATCTGGAATATGCAGACGACATCGTTCCTGTTTTCGAAGAGGAGAAGGCGCATGTGATTTTTGGATGAACTAACCACTTTGCACCCACAAATTGTGAGGTCGTGCTCGTGGACATGCAGTCACTGAACACGCCACCTACAATCCAGGGAGAGGTACTGGAAGTTGTGCAGCGTTATGCTTATCTTGGGAGTTGTGTTCTGATTGTAGTGTGACTGATGAGGTGACTGCACGAATCTGCAAGGCCAGGGTCGCATTTGCTAATTTGAGACACCTATGGCTGTGAGACTTTGACTATTCTAGCAGCAGAACTGAGACGTCTTCATTTGTCCGACAATCGTCGTCTCAGAACCATAGCTCGCGTGGGTGGTATCGGCGAAACCGTAATGAGGCAATTAGAAAGCGAGTCTTCGGTTGTGCAATGAGTACTCCCATTGAAGAATGTGCCCATCACCAGGATCTGCGTTGGTTGGGACGTGTTGCGTATGCCTAACCATCATTTGCCGAAGAGAGCGCTGTTTTCCATGCCAAACTCAGAGTGGCGTAAACAGAGAGGTGACCAACCCTTTGACCTGGCAGAGGGGTATGAAAGAGGTTGCGAAACGTTTGAGTGCAGTAGGTGCTACTCGCTTTGCAGGATGGGGACCGCGTGATCCCCACTGTGCCTGGTTGGAGACACTGCCTGCTTTGGATGCCAACCGATGTTGGTGGCATTCGTGTTGTCAGTTTCTATCCAGATCACCTGAATGAGTGTCTGGAGGTGTATGCACCGCGGAATGATTGTAGCAAGCTAGTACTAAGTCCCTTCCACGTCCACCTTTATTATTTTGTTACAATAAGGCTTTCAAATAAATCGTGACTACGGCAGTGACGCATCGTTGTTCAACACTGATTTCATGCTGTCCGTAGTGATAATGGCGGCTTAAACAGTTTGGCCATGTTGCCCAGAAACCCGAAGGTAAGATTTGCATACATACACTGGCTTCCTTTGCATGTCCAAGATGGCGTCGTCCTTTTGGAAGACACATTTAATCAGTGGATTGGGTGGTTCAGTCCCATTACCATAAGGGGCTAGATGGCCCAGTGGTTAGAGCGCAAATTTGCCGCCGGAAGGTCCGTAGTTCAAACGAGACCTCTGCCACCCGACTTCCCCTGTCTAGGCTTGGGCAACCTGCCAGTATCTCAGCCCTCATACTTCTTTTGGGTGGCAAGGCAGCTTGGCCCCGAAAGAGTGGTACAGCTGAACGATTGTATTATTTTTATTTTAAAGTACCGTACCGTACGCGCTGCTCGATTCAGAACTGGATCCTGCGCTTTGTATCTTTGACCGCCGTTCGTAGGCATCGACAGTACGAAACATCTGTGGCAGCAGCTCACAGTCACAGGAGCCAATTACATAAGCAACTTTGATCTGCGAAGCAGCAGGAGCAGCAATTCCCTCATAGGTTCCGAAGGTTATCTCGTCCGCCGGGTCTGTTGGAGCCTTGTTCCGTCTGTTTGTTTTTTGGCATCAAGACAAAGTCAGATAATAGACCACTATTCAGGCTGTAGCCCCAAACACCCACCCAGTTTCTTTCATTTCAATTGGAACTCCACCCGGAGAAGTCAGTGGGCAGGAATTCCTTTGCAGGCGTTGTGTGGTAGTAGGCCCATCAGGATTACTTCGAGAATACCGGAAGAATTGCTTTATTTCTCCCAATAACCACACACCTCTAACTGTGCTGAAGCTGATTCTTATCTAAATGAATCATGCAATTCCAGAGTGTTAAATCAATTGTTCCGATGCTAAGAAACCATGATTATCCTTTCTGATGTGCGTTCGAATATCTTACGCTGTATTTGTGAAGGAGCGCACGGTAACGCCATGGTGCTGGTTGAACTGTTCCCCCATTCGAGTTCTGCGATAACTCAGATGCCTTTCCTGTGGTCGGGTCCTGTGATGTTTGAAGCTTCCGTCGGAGCAGTATTTCTACGGGTGACACTCCATTAGACAAATTCGGGTTAGGCGTCGCTCGATATGCCAGTGGCAACCTTTGCAAAAGCTCGTCCTGTTTTTGTCCTTCTAACTGACGGAAGCAGACTCATAGGTCAGACTTTTCGGCCAGGCACTAAAATGATAATTTTCTCTGTTATCCTTGCTCTTTTCGCAGCTTGGTTTGATGCCGGGACAGAAAAATGGCCTCGAACTTGTTCATCAATATGCGTTTGAAGTTGTTGACTTCAGTTCTCAGTATGGCTCTGAGAGCGGCACTGCCAACACTGCGGGAAACTTAGTTGGGCCTTGTCAAGTCTACCCGAATTACTGTGACTCCAGTGCCACCTGTTCATTCGTAAGTGTCACTGTTAATGTTTTGTGCGTCTTTTCAATGTTTTGCGGTCGTATCAGTCCTCATCGTCACAGGCTATCTCTAAATGCGATTCTTTGAGCACCAGACTTTTAAGGAAGGTGAAACAACGTGACTGTTTCCGGTGGTAGAAACCCGACCCATTTTTCTCATAAACGGGTAGTACTCAAAATATATATATATATTACAATAGAGCTCAAAAATGTAAATCTTAGGTTTTTCCACCCAGCCGAAGATTCTCCGACTAACCGGGTCCTAGTTTGAAAGAAAAACGCTAGGGAATGCGAAAGCTGCGGCCGCCGTGGGACTGTTTTTCTCCGGTTGAATAACCTCGCGGGCTGGGGCTAGTGAATTCATTTCTCCACCACTTTATCCAACTCTTTCCTTTGAACTGATTACTTGGTTTTAGTTATGTTTCAATCAGACTTGCATTACGAACTCCTCACCAGCACGAAAAGATGCAGCTTTTTGGTCATGCATCGTTCATGCCGAATCATCATTTGCCAAAAAGAATGCTGCTTTTCGTGCGCAAGCAGTTAAATGGATAACCTTTGACCTGAAAGAAGGGCGTGAAAGTGACTGAAAAGTTTTAATACTGTCGGTTTTAGTTGCCTTTCAGGACGAGGTCTGCGTGGTCTACTCCCTGCCAAATATGACTACTAATCGATATCAGTGGTCTTTGCGTTATCAGTTTCTGCCCAGATTATTTGAATGAGTGTCTGGAGGTGCAGGCACCCCGGGATGATTGTGATAGGCTAGTGCTTCCCCCATACACCTTTATTCTTTTCTCCACAACAAGGCTTTTAAATACATCATGGTTGTACAACAGCGAAGCGTTTGTGATGAACATTGATGTGCTGTCGCCGATGATGATTGATGTCACCAATGACAGTAGTGTAACTGTAGGACACCAGCAGTATTCAACCATACAACCTTGTTTGAGCAGGGATCTCTCGGGTCGGGCTCCAGAGAATAAAACACTTCCTTGCATCATACTCGGGGAGAGATGGCTCAGTGGGTAGAGCGCGAATTTGACGACCAGAAGGTCCGTGGTTCGGATGTGACCGCTTTATCTCGACTTTCCTGTCTAGGCTTGGGCAACGTGGCAGTATCTCAGGCCTCGTGCTTTCCTCGGGTTGCATGGCAGCTAGGTACCGAAAGGATGTTGCAGCTTAACGATTTATGGATTTTGCGGCATACTCAGTATACGGCCACTTTTTCTGCCCTATTGTATTTCATCCCAGTATGTGATCCCATTGTTTAATTTAATTGATTTGCATTTGCATTCATCCAGTGTGCTTTGCAACCTATTGATTTTTCCACTGCTCTGATCAAAGATTTCCCTTTCACTACTCGCTTTCCAAACAGCGCACCTTTGGTCAGTGGTGGCACGACTGCCCTTCGGCAATTCCACCCGTGAACTCGCGACCGGATGACTACTGTAGTGAAGATTATGTTGATCTCTACTTCGATGTACCCGTTGTGCCTATCCGACTTCAAATCTTTGAAACCTACAATCCAGGTGCAATTGTGCGAATTCTGGCCTGCTACCGCACACAGCCCGCAGATGGGCCAGTTAATGCTCGGACACTGCAATGGGTTACGTTGTGGAAAGCACCAGAACCGGTGGCCCATCTCTCACCGTCCAGATCGAGATTACTACGACGGCTTCAACTACTATATACTGCGTCTAATGCCGCGGATGACGGTCAGGCGTTGACTTTGGCGCCTCACAGACAGACGAACTGGTCCTCACGCGTCCTACCAGATTCTGATATCAGAGATCGCATTTGTTCCAGTCAACCTCGACGAGCACGTGTCTTTCAGCCGCCGTTGGTGGGTTTTTGAAATTTCTGTTGTTTTGCCGCGTGCACCTCTGTTGTGATTAGCATGCCCCGTTCATTAGTTTTCTCTGACTCTCCAACCAACGGATTACTGCGAATCCGTTGCGGTGTCGTAGTGTGTGTACTTCTTAAGACCTTCTGAGCCATGATGTCTTCACTCTGACACCCACAGTTTCTGGTACCAGGTTGGTTAGTTGATAGAGGCTTGTCGAACACAATCTCCAGATCCTCCCGTTTATGGATTAGAATAGACACGACGACCTGTTCCTTAAAAAACTTTCACGACTGTATTAGTATGTCTCATTTGTACTGCAGTGAAGCATCGGTGTTGAATACTGATGTCATGCTGTCAATGATAATGATGATGATGAGGATGTCTCACACCATCATGCTTTTGAGCCTACCTTAACCGTGTTGCTTTCTAAGTGTGGACGCCCTGACAGTTTCCCGGACCGTGTATAACTGTGAATGTATAAATATCATAAAAGCGTTCTTTTTGTGGTATCTAGCGGGATTCGAATAAAAGCTAAAATTTATCACCAAGTTGTATGCGATCCGTGAAAGTAATGAGGACTGGTGAAACGCAGTAGATATCATGTTTGTTGGTTCTTCTATGTACCAGCTTCAATTTATTCAATGCATATGATTTAACGTTCTTTACTGAATGCTTCTCTGTGCAAATCCTGGGCTAAGTGCTGGTCAAATTAACTCGGTTCCAGTCAAAAAGAGTCGTGTACTGTGTGTCCACATTTTTGTGACATCTACCTTTCGACATGACGGACTACCAGTCTGTGCTAGTCATATATACAAAAAGAATTATCATCCTGACGTTCCGCCCTAAATTAAACATTCACCAGGTTTTCCTCGCTTGGCTGTTGAAAGCTTGTTTGCCCGAGAGAGGATTACAAGAGATCCGAATCCGCACTGGAAAAAACGCTTCTTCCACATTTCCTCACATCACTTTGACCGATGTAGTTGCATCTTTCAAGATCTTCATAGTTTCCGGAGTGAATTTGTGGTAATTATCTCCGTGAATACCACTCAGCTTCATGTCTTCCCGTGGTCATTGGCCTTGACCTATTCACTCGAGTTTGTCTAAGATACATGTCACCTGCCGCTCGGTGGTCCCAACTTCCACTTTGAACCAAACATTCTTTTTGTGAAAATTGTACGGTAAGCATGGATAGGATGTAACATTTACGTGGTATAAATGCTGTCATTCTTGCCGGCTGTTTTATTTGCGTGCATTTTATTCTGCGCTCCCTGTTCTCAGAGCAAAATATCTCCCTATCCGATCGACTTGATTCGGCTGGAATTGGACGGTTCTCGGTGCAGTTATTTTACCGAACTGGATGCAGTTTGTTTGACTGGCTGGGCTGAAGTTCCTCGATGGCCTGGATTCTCTCAGCTTGAAGGCACCAATTCACTCACACTCTGAACCAGTGCATTATAATGCACCGCGTACCGGGTCAGCTACAGCCTCATTTTTCTCCGAATTATTGCGACCGCGCACACCGCAGTTGTGCTTTTCTCCAGAAAATGTGAGCGTCATCTGTTTTCGCCAGGTTTCCCCAGTTACTATCCCATCTAACTACATTCCGCTTCCTTGTAAGGTCAGCTTGGCGTAAGAAAATAACTTTCGCAGTTGTGTGTTGGGTAGATATGACCGATTTGGTTCAGTCGTTAGCAAATTTACTGACTGCAAGGTACGTGGTTCGAACGCAGCCTCTGCATGTTGACTGCTCCTGTCTAAATTTAGGCAAACTGGCAGCTCTCGTACTTTCTTTGGGTGGTATGGTGGCTACGCATCGAAAGGATGTCAAAGCTGAACGTTTGTTGTTATATCATTATTATTATTATAAAGGCTTATTCGTTTCCATGATGAAACAGCATCCCCACTCTTACGCAGGTCTTTACTGAACGTTCCACAACCGTTCTCCTCTTATACATCTTATACATCGTGAACTGTTTTTCCAAGTGCTCCGTTTGTAAGTAAGAACCTCTGCCTGCAATAGATTCATATTCCTGTACATGGCTTGACTGAAAGACCATTTTGGGGTAGGCGAGATGGCTCGGAGGTTAGAGCGCGAATTTGCTGACCTGAAGGTCCACAACTCGAATCCTATTTCTGTATCTTGACTTTCCCTGCCTATGTTTGGGCAACCTGACAATATCCCAGCCCTCGTACTTTCTTCCGGTGGTGTGAGAGCCAGGCACCGGATGGATGTTACAGCTGAACAGTTTTTTAAACTTTTAAACACACTGTCATTGCCGTGCCACCCCAAGGTAGCATGAGGATTAAGATACTTCCAGTATGTCCAAGCCCAGACAATACCAGTTGAGATGCTGAGATTGGGTTCGAACCATGGATGTAGAACTGTATTTAAATCTACGTGGTTGTACAACAGCGAAACGACGTTGTTCCACACTCGTGCTGCGGTCGTTGTGCCTTCTAGTGGCAACCAAGTCCCTTAATATTGGCGTATATTCAATCTTACCACAAAGTATTAATCGATTTATTCCTTATCGCCTTCAAATGAACGCACTCATGAATCAACTTACTTTCACATTGTTCACAAGACTTGGAAGGCAATATCAGATTGGCTGAAAGTACAACCACAGATCAACTGATCTTTAATCAGCTGACCTGAAGGACGCTTAGTTGTTACTTGGCCAATAACCGAGCTAAAAGACAAGTGATTGACGTGGCGATACCAACAGTCAGCTGACGTCGGTTCTTTCAAGACATAATGAAATGGGAGAAAGAACAGTGAAACTGTTCACTTTGGAAATAGAATTGATTCCAACACATAGCTGCACGAAACCCACTATTTAAAATGATTGATGCGGTGATCGACATCTAAACACATCGGTAAGGAAAGTTCCTTGTTCCAGTGGGTTTTCTTCCATATCGATATCAGTGGCCTCCGGATACATCAGCAGTGAATAACAAAGAAAATAAATCGCTCTTCTAGTTCCCTGCCGTCTTGTACTTACGTACTGTAACTAAGGTTTTCCTACGAAAGGCAGGGTTGTCTCTAGATCATCGAACCGGTTACAGCAAACAGGCTGAATCTGTATTAAATAGTCCCCTTCAGTATTGGGACTAAGTGAGTTGCAGGCTCAGACACACAGTACATACAGTATGGGCACTAGATAGCTCAGTGGTTAAGGCGCCAGCTTGCGGATCGGAAGTTCCGCGGTTCGAACCCAACCTCAGCAATTCAACTGCAACCTGGCAGCCCTCGTGTCTCCTTCCGTTGGCATGGCATTTAGCCACCGAAATGGTGCTACAGCTGAACAATTTACTATATCAAGTGTTCAGTAAGGCACCCGGTTAATGTTGCCAGCGCCAGTTTTTATGAACCTTGTGCTCGTAAGCTGATCGTGGACCGCGAACGTTACAGTCCAGTTGGATTGTCGACGCAGGTCGTGTGGTGGTTGTTTGCTGAGGTGTACTCATGAAAAAATCGTTCAGCTGTAACACCATTCTGGTGCCTAGCTGTCATGCCACCCGAAGGAAGCACGAGGGCTGAGATACTGTGGGGTTGCCCAAGCCTAGACGGAGGAAGTCGAGAGGCAGCGGTTGGGTTCGAACCACGGACCTTCCGGTCAGCAAGTTCGTGCTCTAACCATTTGAACCATCTTGACTTTTGTCCACTGTCCGGATAGGTCACTCCCAACTCAACGCCTTTGTGGCACCCAGTTTTAACCCACTGTTTGCGTGCCTTTATTTCAGCATCAACTTCACTACTCGTCGCAACAGTCCTCCTTCTCGTCACCAGAACTTTCTCCGGAATTCTATCGACAGTCGCCGCTGTTGCCCATTTGCTCCTCGTTGACAAGCCCCACGATCAATACAACTGTTGCATTAGTTCCCTCCTGTTCGAGTGCACCAGTGAATAGCAGCAGTTTATGTCACCTCCCGCGTGTCGGAATGGATCTTCTGCTCCCTCGTGCAGGAGGACATCTGGTTGCTGTGACACCAGGTGCCATTTGCCCTATCACGTTGTTTGGTTTGATGCATCTAGACGAAACCGCAAGATGGCGGCATGGGCCATTCACCCGGTTGCCTGTAGGTATTTTGTTGATGTTGTGATGTTCAAGTAAACTAATTCCTTTTGAATGCACATAGGATGGGATCGACATCACGTGGTCACTGGCTCCTCGAATGAAGACTCTTTCAGATGGAAGTTATAGTTTTGGTGGCAAATAGATCGTTCATTGTGTGAGGAGATTCGTGAATTTTCAGTGGAGACTTTGTCATATGAGTGAAGCCGATCAACTTGGGATTTTCAGCATGGGCTGGCTTCACTTACAGGATGAAACCACCACTAAAAACTCGCAAATCTCCCCACACTACCAAAATGCACCTTACGATTTGCGACATATTGTTGCAATATAAGGACTGGCACAATAACAGAAACACTGCTACAGTTCCCATCAGGTTTGTTGTCACAAGCATTTTGGTCCATTTTCTTCGGTCCTCGCCGTGAATGTGTTACGGTGATCATCTGGAACGGTTGTATGTTCCAACTTTGGAACAGTCCCTGTTGAGGCAGAATGGTATTTTTAGACACTGTGATCCACTGATGAGTTTGAATAAAGCGGTAAGAACAGTAAAGTTGCGGAATGAATTAGTTACGTACACCCTCCTCTGCCGTGAAGCATGTAAAAGAGGGTAGGCTACGTGATACAATGTAGCCTAACACAGCTGTACAATTCTAAAACAACGTGGCCGATCAATTAAATTAAGTCAATCTCATTGTGACCCTTAGGTCTTTCTGAGCGCAGTGGACAGGCTTAAAGCGACCAATCAATATGGCATCAAGGAACTTCAGTCTCTGTGCCCGCCTGCTTCGTGCCAAAACCCGGGACTACCAGTTGAGTTCAGTTCTGTGACCTGTGTCGATTAGATGCCTAGCTATGGACGATTTGACCCTGGTTTCGATCAGCGTTGAGTTGGGGTCAGTTAAGTTTTTTGGACACGTGCTCCTTTGCTCGCGTTTCAGGCATCCTGTCAATTTTACTGGTACATTTATCATTACAACTGCGGGCGAGTTAAAAAATACAATGAGTTGTAGATAAAACTGAAATCAACATTTCCATTGGTGGCGTTCGTATGGCCTGTGTATGCTTTAACACACAGCTATACCGCGTTATAAGTCCGGTGGAGGTATACATTTAGTGTCCTTTTAAACAAACTGATATCATGATCACAAATGTAAGGAACATCAAGTCATATGTTCTTTTTCGGTAATATGAGTAACACTGTCAATTAATCCCTTAGGACAAGGTGCTTCTCGACCAAACGGTCACTTTTGTACAAGCAGATTCTCGTAAATTTTAGTGGTTTCTCTGGTCGACGTAGGTTTTCTAAATACCGAGCGCAACGTCGCACCTTTGCTATTTCTGGTGATCAAAGCGTCCGAAAACGAAATTTGTTGTATTGTTCGAATTCACGTGTGACTGAAATGCTTTGGAGGGAGATAACTGAAACCAGAGTGCGGGTATTTGGCCTGTTCCCCCGCTTGAGATAAGTAAAATATCATCCACATGTCTTTTGTACAGAAGTCCTTGTTGTATGTAAGCTTCCGTCCTTATCATGTTGTACGGAGAAAACTATAAGAATATCATTATCCCAACGAAAGGCCAAAATTGCAGGTCGTAGGAATTAGGTTAGAGGTGGATGATCAAAATGAAACTGCGACTTTCCAAAGTGTTACTTCAAGTTGAGCTTATTGGAGTCAACGTTCACTGAAGACCAATTAGACTTGCTAGAAACCGTTTAGTATTGGAAGAAATGCATGATCGAACATCCGTACTCCAGTTTTCCTTTAACCTTGAGCTCGAGATAGCTCAGTGGTTAAGGCGGAAAGTCCTTGGTTCGAACCGACATCTGCATCTCCATTGCTCCTTTGTAGGCCTGAGTAACCCCGGGGTATCTCAATCCTGGTGCTTCATTCGTGTGGCATGTCAGCTAGGGATCGAAAGGGTGCTGGTTGTGAATGGATGTAGCATTATTGTTATTGTCCATAGTCGTGATTCTCATCCCTATCTTATGGCCGCTTCCCGTCTATTCTCTCTGTATTTCAGTACGAGATTCTGCTTCGTATATTCTCCTATCTGGTCCTTTAACCTGAGCTCGAGATAGCTCAGTGGTTAAGGCGGAAAGTCCTTGGTTCGAACCGACATCTGCATCTCCATTGCTCCTTTGTAGGCCTGAGTAACCCCGGGGTATCTCAATCCTGGTGCTTCATTCGTGTGGCATGTCAGCTAGGGATCGAAAGGGTGCTGGTTGTGAATGGATGTAGCATTATTGTTATTGTCCATAGTCGTGATTCTCATCCCTATCTTATGGCCGCTTCCCGTCTATTCTCTCTGTATTTCAGTACGAGATTCTGCTTCGTATATTCTCCTATCTGGATTTCAGATCCATCTGTCGTGCGGCCAATGTTTCTCGGTAAGCCGTAATTTTAACCAACAGGCCTGTCAAATATCCTTCTCTCAGTTGTATAACCATGTACTGTGTACATGTATATCCATGTGCTGGGTCCTGTCTGGCTCATTGAACGGTTATGTCGGCAGCTAACGCAAAAGCCAAATGCATGGAGTCCGGTTTTCAAAGGTGTACTCCAAATCTGAATGTCTGCGGTTTAAATGGAGGAGACCTTACGATTCGATCACTGATCGTTCGGTCATAGAATATATATCAATATACCAATATATCAGCACCGTGAAATAAGGCCTCAGTAAAAAATGAATAGAAATAGGGAAGGTAGAGACTTGACGCGAAGAAGTCCTGTGCTCTTAGGAAAGCAGTGAATTATAAGGTGCGTACATTTTTGGGCGGCGTTAAAATAGACACATCTGGGCATCATGGCAAAGTAAGTTGTTCTCAGTGGGGTTAACCCAGCGTTCTTTGCGAACCTCACCACAGATTGGTTTCACACACAACGACGGACGAACTTTATCTGGGCAGTCCGGTTAGGAGACCACAGCATGCGAACCACTGGGATCACTTGCGTGCCATGTCTGATAGGAGGTTGAGATGGCTCAGTGATTAAGACGTGAACCCAGTGACTGGAAGGCCCGTTGTTCGAATCTGACCTTGGCACATCGACTGCGTCTGTCTCGGCTTGGGAAAACTTGCAGTATCCTAACCGTCGTGCTTCCTTCAGGTGGCCTGGCAGATAAACGTCGAAATGGTGTTGCAGCTGGACGTCTCGCAGGGTTTCCAAAACACCATCAAACGGGATCACATGGACCGCAACCAAGAGGCGCTAAGATTCCACTTTCATTTCTCATTGAGAGTCTGTTCCGCGCGAACCTTTCCCCTATAGTAGCTTGGAACAGTAAACCCTGTCCACTTGGCTAGACGGTGATTGGACATACGCAGTACCAACTATCGTCTATTTTTGAAGAGCATGGTCACAGAAATAAAAGGTAAATGCAGATGATGAATGTGGAAGGGTTACAGGAGAATATTCGGTAAAAAGGTAGAAGCGTCTCATTCCGAGTCATACTGGGTCTGGTGTGAGATTCAATGGCAAGAATGTACACTCAACGCCATATACCACGCATAAAAGTGTCGCCGGTACGCAGAGAGCCTATAGTGTCAAGCAAACACAAGTCACTGACTGTGACCTTAGGGAGTCTCAGTCCAAAAGCAATCCTGGCGTATTGAGGAAGCAGATCCCTCGATGGTGGTGATGGTGGAGCAAAAGGTCCGCATCACAACCAATTGCACGTAGGGCAAAGGCACATTCATCAGCACCATACTTCTGCTTCTTCTCATTCTACTCAGTCACTCCGCTCCCTTCCGAGACTATGCTTACGTCTATCACAGTTGCTCGGCGCTCCCAAACAGCGATTAGGTCAGGTTTGATGAAAGACGTCGAAGTAGGTGCTCTCAACTCCTCAAAGACGGTGTACCCCAGTCGACGGAGACGTTTTGCGAGTTCCCTTGCAACCCGATTATGATCCGGCAGGGCCGCAAAATATGCACCAAACTCTCCGGTTGACCGCGGTTTTTATGACAGAAGATCGTCTGGCCACTATGGCCACACCGAGCACCTCTAACTCCCGTCCTAAGCAGGTTGCCTCGGAGCTGGATACCGCGGTCAAATATCCGAGGAAACGCTCGTTCTGGAAACAAACCATCGGTTCAAAAGAGGCGAAGCGAGCGTCAACACTCCGCAAGCAACCGCAAGCTCTTCTTTAGAGTTTACGTATGCACCATAGACTCGGATCGGAAGGCTGAGATCCTGAACAACCTTGCCAAATGCGGAATCGTACTCAGCACTGTTCTAGCTATCCTGTTTTGTCCTCAAGTGCCCGCTTACGCGCCACTTCATTGGGTAATTGCTGAAGCTAGCCAACTCTTGCTATACTACAAAAACACCGAATAAGACAACTGGGAATTTGACTGTGGTCCTCAAACTAAGCGGTCACGTTTTACAAAAATAAAGTAATTCAGCTCTTACAGTTATCTTGCCTACAGATTCTTTAGATCTAGTGAAATCCGTTTCTGATGCAGTGTGCATCAAAGCATGATGCTACCGTCGACATTTCGTTCACAGTACTTTATGCGAACCAGTACCATTTAGGAAACAACCATCCACATAATTCAAGACAATTACTCTCTCTCTCTCTATCTAGTTATGATTTCCACACCTAGATTCATAATACCTTGGATTGCGCACTTCATGAGAACGTCGATGACAAAATCGAACAAAAGGGACAACTCCCTCACTTGTGGGCGAGCTTTGGGATTTCCGACCCCACGAAGAATGTTTGCAAACTTCAGGGGCATCTATTAGTGCATAGGGGACGATAGCCATAATACAAATCAGGTGTATGCACTGATAAAAGTTTTCACTGTGGTTGACAGTAGTTTACGGAAGCGATTTGCAGCATGTATAAAATAAAGGCAATATACAATGTGGAGCAAGCCAAAAGGGAAATTATCATATGCGAGAGTCCCTTGGTGAAAGTCCGGACGGCGGGAACGTGTTTTCTTCGCAGTATAGCTGCTACACGTGTTCCATCCATAATTGTCCGTGGACTTGGAGTGTTTGGCTGACTCCTTGCTCCCTGCGCGCGCGCGAGTCTGTGTGCTGATTGTGTTCGGTTTCCGTATAAGTAGATCCGTTTGCGCGTACGTGGGCGCGTCAGCACGTGAGCAGTTGCTACGCTCACCAGACGGTGCAAACAATCGACGTCTGATTAGTCACCTTGATGTGACATGGTTGTGGGGATGAAAAAAGACAAGTCTCCTGATCCAGTGAGCGACTGTGAGCTGAACAGTCAAGTATGTGGGTGACTGGGTTGCTACACATCCACCGCTGGCAAAGAATATCTTTAAGAGTCAGTCGAGATCTCTTACAAAGCCTAGAAAAACCGTGATTATTTGCGTGGTCTCGCTCAGGCACTTGTTTGTCAGCCCTGTACCAGATCGAATTCACCCTTCTTGATGCTCTCGGACTTGCTTCTCACGCACCTAAGATAGGTGTTGCAGTGGACCCAGTAGCTATACTACGAAGGTCGTGAGAATTATGCTTCTTTGATCGGAACGATTAACGATTGACCTTAGTTATCCAGTTTTCAAATGTCTGGGATGAACCTAGTCAAAGCGGAAACAGATTCATCTACTCCTCTGAGTAACGGTGGGTCAAGCTCATCTAGTAGCCGGAGGGCGCTTCAAGTCAGAAAGCCTGATGAGGGGCTAAACTCACAGACCACGACTCAAAATGAAGGGATTGAACGAAACACCTAGGTACGTGGTCAGATATTGTGGAAACTATTCCGACTGCCTATCTAGACGCTGGTTCTTTCTATGTATTACATGGGTTTCCAATATCATCTTTGATGAGCTTATGGAGGATCAATCAAGTCTTGTTTTGTGGATTAGCTAAAACATTTTCCAAAAATTCTCTATCACACCGATCCATTTCATCTCTTGAACTTGCTGGTCCCACCACTTCTCATTCTCCATACGTACAGTATGTTTGAGCTCGATCAGCCCGCCCAGCCACACTGAGTCTGAAGCAGTGGAGCGCATCGCATCAAGGTGCCCGTTCGGAGCACCAGTGGTTTACATGTTTGCGCTCTGGAACACCAAATTGGGAGTTCTTGGCGTCATGAATCAGATCAGTAATGCGGAAACACCATGTAGATCACGTGGTCGCACTCCACTGGTTGTGTTCGTTAAGTCATTTGTTTCATATGCCAACTAACCGTTCGTCCCGTAGAGTCCTGTCCACCTAACCTTTTTTCGCTTGGAGACGACCCAGGGGTGGTCAGTTCATGGTTTGGCAACAAAGCATGAAAGCCTTTTGGTCAACTCAGTCGCGTTGCTAAATGCCGTCTCCCCAGACGGGGACCCTGATACAACACAAACCAATGCTCAATGAACTTGACAGATACGGTTGTCAGGCAGCTACTTGCGTTCTTGCGTCAAGGCAATCGCCTTCACTGTGTACTTCTCACTTCCTGTCGTAACAACTTCGTTTGTGGCCAGTGCACAGATTGGGCCATCGCCTCCAACGCGTGCCTCTCATTCCTTTACTCTCTCCATTCGCGCTGAAAGATATTGTTACACCTGGAATAAATGCACTTCGGTGCACGATTCATCAGCTGAATAACTGACGAGTCATCGTTGTAAATGATTGATATTACTGTTCTCTTCCTTCGTAAAAATCGTATCCAAAAATGCAATCCAAAAGGAATACTTGATTACACTCCAACACGAAATACCAGCAGCTTATTATTTTCAACCAAATCCATCGGCCTACGGGGTCAGAACATCCTTTTCACTACATTCAAACAAGGCAGACTGCGTAATTGGATTATTCAGCAAAGATCCACATAAGTTAGTCATCCTTAGTCACCTGAAGGTTGCTCACGTGATGATCTGAAACTATATCTGGCCAGGCACTCCACCAGACTTTCACAGCCTTGTTAAGCCAGACTTTGTGCTTTTCTAAATTGCTGTCCTTCGGGCATACTGGGATGAATTCTGTGTGCTACCATAAATCCCTCTATCTTAGCTGTGAACATCCAGTTCGTGCCGCCCGACTTCACTTGGCAGTGGCATATAAGAGCAGTTGGCTCTGTAGTTAGTCGAATGTGTTTGTGAAATCTGGTACACTTATGCAACACCTTTTACTCATCGGTGTCGTTGAACGGTCACCGAGACCAAAAGCTTAACCCTAGCACGTAAAGGATCCATTCTTTCACGTCCTGTGGAACACTGACTGTCGCAACATAATCGATGCAGAACTTCATTGGTGAGGTCAGTCAGGGTGCACGACTAGCAACCGGTTCCAGGTTCGTCCGAATCGATTCAGTCCCATCGGTAGCAGTTGATCAACTCCATCACATGACCGTTTCGTTGTGTTCTTTATTTATCGCTCGTCGCTGTGGAACTCTGAAAGTTTAATCGAAATACTTTCGCATCTT